TGCAGTTTCAGTGCGATTGTTGCAAACAGCCTTTACTTTTTTGTGTAGTTCTTTGTTTGTTTTTCATATTTTCATTGTTTTTTTTTTTTCTGTTCTCACTGTCTTTTTACCTGTTCCTCCGGCCCACCTTGGTGTGCGAGGTGGTGGGTACGACTATTGTTGTGGTTGTTCTTGTTGTTACTGCTGCTACGTGTGATGTTCCTCTTCCCCCGTCTTGTGTGGAGTGTGACTGGCTGCTGCCTGTTGTAGGAGGTAGGGAGGCGTATGTCTGACCGGGAGGACGACGACGATCGGTTGAGCCTCAACTTTGGCGAGGAGCACGAGGAGAGCACCCCGCGCAGCGACGACGAGCAGAGCGACGCGGCGGGTGTTGGCGCGGCGGGGCCGGTGGCGACGGGCTCCGCGACGCGGCGCGACGACAGGGACCGCGTGACGGCGCCGGTGCTCACGAAGTACGAGCGCGCACGCATCCTCGGCACGCGGGCGCTGCAGATCAGCATGAACGCCCCCGTGCTGGTGGCGCTCGAGGGCGAGACGGACCCCCTCACCATCGCCCAGAAGGAACTCCGCGAGGGCGTCATCCCGCTCGTCATTCGCAGAGTGCTGCCGGACAACACATATGAGGACTGGCGGATCGCCGAGTTGGACATCGACTTTGACCGTCCAGCAGACGAGCGCTATACAAACATATGACCCTCCTCGGGGTGTGCTTCTGTGTGTGTATGTGTATGTGTGTGTGTGTGTACATCTGCGTTGGCCTCGCTGTAGGCGCAGGCACAGGTGTGTGGTTGTTGTTACCTCTCCCCTTTACCTTCCCTCCCCCTCTTCCGCTCTGGATTCTCATCAGACTATGTTGTTGTGGGGGCTCGCATGTGCTTTACTTGTCTCTTATTTCTTTTTTTTGTTACAGCTAAGACCGCAAGGTTAGAACAATCTCAAGCAAGCTCAACAGGAAGGCGTTATGAAGTGCTGCAGTGTATTTGTTATGTTCACAGCCCTTTTGGCCAGTGTGTGCGCTCTGGGTTCAAACGTATTTCCTCTGTTTGTAAGGGAT